TGGACAGCCAGATCCCCTTCCCTCCCCAAATCCGTATGCTTCCATGAATGCTGCAGTATCCTTTTTCCAGACTGAATAACCACAAGCCAATGAACGAATATTGTGTTTGTTTTTTTAATAAAGCAGTGGTGCGAGTGGTGCGAACAGCAGGGGTGCCGATTTCATGCTTCCCTGCTCTTGTAAACAGTGGAAAGGCAAAGAAGAGGAACTAACTCAATCACTGGATTATTCATTATGGATGAACATCTAACAGTGGCATAGTACATCTCTGGCTGCAACAGAGCCGCTGAACAGCAAGAGCCTCTGCGAACCACAGTCAACAGTATCAGAGGCAAGGCAAGCGCCGCTCAGTTTACGGCTTTTCGCTCTCATGTTACGAGCTGTGGGTCTCTGACAAGCACTGAAATGAAACTCTGGCTCCCAAGGATAGGCACCTACAGCTGGGCTTACCCACGTGTGCTAGCAGGCACAGAACTGCTTCTGGGTGCTTGCACCGGCAGGCAGATATGACCGTATATATGCACGTACCCAATCACTGTGCATGCACCAGCCACGCAAACTTCTGACAAATTCACAAGCTGTCTCTCAAAAATAATCTGGATTAGCCCTAAGTCTAGAACAATAAATGCAAAGTGTTTCGCAGAGTTGGTGCACTCTGATATTGCACACTCTGGATTTCTCAACCTTAAACTCTCTGGGATGTTTCTCTTTTTAAGCACCGAGCGGCTTTGTCCGGGACGTTCAAGGCTCCCTCTGGAGCGAGGCGTTCCCATTCCATGGGTCTCCTGATGCACAGCCCCACATGCTGCACTGCGAGCGCACCCCAGCCCAAAGGGAATTCTGCACTGCACCTTTCTGAACTCAGCTGCAGTCAGGACTGTCTCAGAAGGACTTTGTACAATTAGGTCACATTATTGGTACTAATCTCGAACACTTAAAGTGATGGATGACGTCATCCAAAAATACAAAATTAGTCTTAGAGCTTGGCTTTAAGGCATAGCTGAGGCTATTTTTTTACATACCTCTGACTTCTGCACTTAAAGCAGGCTTTTGAACGTCTCTCTGCAAGCATGTTGATGAAGGGCAACTTCAAACAAGGTCAAAATGTGCAAAGATTCAGTGATCCTCAGAAGATTGATTCTATCAGAGCACTGGCATCACTAGGCATGGGAATTAAATCCTTAAAGCCAGAAACAGTATTGTACCTTTTGGAGTCTAAATCCTAATGCCAGTGTAATTCCCTGACTGCGGTGAAAGATGGCAATCTGGGTAGCAGCTCTCCCATTCCCTTCCTTTCATACAGAACTATCCCTACATTACTCAGTTCCATTTTGTATGATCCTACAAGCTCTGTATGTTTATTCCAGACCATGAAGTTAAGCACTACCAAAAGAGGCTGCTTTAAAGACACATAGAAAGTGTCCTCTTTATGAACAAGATCCATGAGACTTGTGTTTATCCCTTGAAAAGTGGATACTGCATAAATAAATCAAGACAGTAGAAGGAACTAATTGGATCCCCAGGCCTCTTCTGAAGGTGATGTGGGATCCTCCAAATGATTCAGCTGGTTACAGGCCTTTGTGCCATATAAACCAGAAAGTGGTGCAAATCTTTCCCTTTGCCCCAGGTAATGATGTAAGTGGGAAATAAACTCCTTGTACTGTCTGATTTCAAGTGGTTCAGTAGGGCAGGACGAGAGGTGAATGGAGGATGGTTATTCTAGGTAAAGGGACTGGGGTGGGCAGTAGGAATCGCTTCACTGGTGAAGTCCTCACCATTCCTTGTGTAATTAGCCACTTGTCTATGGGCTCCATGTCTGAGTTCCCACCTTTACCTCTCCTCTGTGTTGAGAACAGAAAGGTCCATAAAGAGAGAAACCACAGCAACAACCCATGATAAAGTAATATAACAGCAGCAAGTTAAAAACTTCACATACACATACACACACAGAGAGTTGCCTACGGTAGCTTCTGGCAGCAGCTGCATCCCCCTCTGCTGCCTGTCAGCTCTGTCCATGGAGGGACAGACCTCACCCCGACCTCTGCATTTCCTACAGACAGTTCACAGAATTTTAGCACTTCCTCCATGATGGTATTTAAAAAAAAAAAAAAGAAACCATCACCACTGACTAGTATTGAGGCTGATGTTTGTCATCTTCTTAGAGGAAGAGAAAGTGTAGGCTATACAACCTACTAAAACCAGTCAGATTTACTGGAAACACTAGCATAACGCGCTGTGGAGCTTCCCGTTACGAAGCTGTAAGTTGCAGCACACCCTACACACCTCCTTGATCTCGGCAGACAAACTCTGCCTCCAACTAACAGTATGACAGCTCTTAACGATGGCATTGAGCAGGAGGGTAAGTAATCGCAGTTTGCTGCAGTGTTCTGGCAGTCTTTCAAACTGCCCCTCTCTAAGAACGGCAGAGGTTAAAAGGACGGCTGATGCATCCAGTTCCTCTGAGCAGACTGCATGGCACAGCAATGCAAAGACTCTCAAGATGGCTTCTTGTCCTTCAGCATCTCATCCCTGAGCCTGGGCCTGGATGCACAGCCACCTTTAGCTCTGGAGGGGCTTGCTCGGGACCGGCAGAGCGCAGCGGTTCTAGCCCACCGGCCCCGCCAGAACCGGGCTAGCTCAGCAGAGAGCCGCTGGTGTGTTTAGGTATCTCCATCCAGAGAGCCGCATACGTGGGATACCTGTCCTGTCCCCATTACCACAGATAATGGAGAATCAGCTGTAATCTTTTATGGCTCATTTCAGTACTTGCGCTGAGAAAACAAAGGGGGAAATCGCTCCAGCTTCCTCTACTATCTGTGTATCACTAGAGAATTATTTCTTGGACACCTCTCCTCCCAGTTGTGATCACGCAACAACTCTGTGGCAACAAAAGCAATTCCCAACATGGAAAAGCAATATTAAGAAAACAGTGTATTTTTAGCTCGTCTTGTTTCCAGCTGCTAAGTCATATTAAAAGACAGCTAATGCCACGTGATCGGCCATCTCTCTACAGACCATTCTGAGAATGACTACATTAGAAACGACGGATGTGCTGAATTTTACCACTGGACAACTGTGCTGGAACAAGACGTGTGTGAAGAACATGTTGCGAAGCTTTTGGCTCCTCCCTAGAGCTGTTCTTAAATTAGCTCTCTACCCAAATTAACGCATGTCTTTCGTTTACTGAGCACTGCCAGTTTTTTGCTACACATGCTGGGGCTGGTAACTTTAGGAGAGTTTAGCTTTTATTTCCTTTAAGAAGAGACACCCACAAGCCTCACAACATTTGACGAAAGGCAGTGTTTACCAATTACCAAAAGACTGCATTTCAAAACAAGACATTCTGATTATACGACACAGTCATCAGGACCTTTGAAAGGAGGCTGAAAGTCTCTACAACATCTCAGAGCCCAAAGTTCCACAACCCATAAAACTTTGACCGTCAGATTAGCTCAGACACAGCCCTTTGAACTGACAACACTTCAGGCAGAGCAGCAGCTACGCTGGTGTGAATGACACGTCACATCGGTGCCTCAAGCAGAATTGGCTGAGAACAAAAGTGTTAATAAATAAGGACACGACCTCCTGGCCACCAAGGGAACACAGCCCCCTTGACCAGCAGCTAAATGCAAGCCCCTTGCGTTTGGTTAGCCAGGAACAAAGAGCAGAATCTCAAATCCTTTCCCAGGTCCTGCCAATAACACAGCTCAGTGATACTGGGGGCTTGGGTTGTCACACTGGCTTCAGGAATTCCTCTCTCATCCCCCTTAACATACTTCTGCCCCCGCCTCCCTGTGCTTCCCCCTTTTCCCTCAGTACTGCTGGCATGAGTTTTTGTGGGGCTGAGCTTGAAACTGGTCACAGGGATGACCTGGGTTATAAATTATGCCTTTTGCAGGAGGACAGGGACAGGAACAAGCAGACAGATTTGTGGGGTGGGCAGATGCTCCGTAAGAAATCATTGCTGAAACCCTGCTACCACTGAACTACGGCCCAGGCAGTCAGGCAGCTGTGATCTGACCCCAGCTGGCTCCGAACGCAAATTCTCCCTGGCTCAGAGCACAAGCTGCCAGGCATGCCAGCTGCCCTGAGCACTCCCATTTCAACTTATGAAAGAACCAGGGCGGGATCAGCCAAGGCATGGGGAGGCAATTCTCCATGGAGGGAGGCGTGTGCATGCCGCACTGGCTCTCCCATGCTACACTGGCTCTGCCATGCTCCCTAGTGGTCAGCACAGCCCCAAATTAGACCAGGAAAAGGCTCTGAACTTGCTCCATCATCTAAAAACTTACACACAGCTGAGTACAAAAGAGCAGGACAGTTTTAAAAAGCAGGGAGGTAGAAAGGGGTTGAGGGACGATCTGAAAGCTCTTTTCATGTCTGCCTTCACCAAGGTATGCAGACGAAGCTGGCCAAGCTCACTCTCTCAAACACGTTTCTGGTATGAGTTGCTGTGAGGTGACAGCACATGGGCCTCTTCTGCCCACACAAGATAGCAGGAGCCTGCCCTGGGACAGACGGAACAGACTGCATGCAAGGGCAGTTATGGCAAGGCACGTGAAGCATTAAAAGTCTACAGTTTCTCTCCTTGTAACCTGCTTCTGTACCCGTGCACTCAGAGAAAAGTCTAGTAGATTAAGACTGCAACAACTTTCATAAGCAAAAACGAACCAAACACATGCACATCAGTGTTCACAGGATGTTCCCTGCTTATTCTTTTCAGCAGCGATTCCAGTCAAGGAGCTAGAGCCCCCAGGCAAGCTGCAAGAACGCAGGAGAATTTACCCACTATGATTTTGAAGTCTTTTAGGCTGGTGTGCTAAGTAGCAGCTCTTTAGAGATCATTACTGAGCAAGTACTTGCTCCTAGATATCAATTTCAAAATAGCCAGTACTAGCACGTCACTGGAATACAGAATGAGAAGGCTCAGCCAAAGCAGCTGCCTACAGCTTGGATTCCACGCACAGCTTCAGATAACAAAACGCAGAGCAACAACCTACCCCTCCCGTGTTCTGTTTCCGAACATCCAGGGCAGACGCTAGTCCTTTGACAGCCTGTGGATCCTCATACGTCACGCTGAAAGAAAGGAAAAAACCACAGAACTAGAAGGAAGTCCAGCAGTCACCCATGCAGAACGCACTTGCTACTCTGATTTACCCCCCTGGAAATCAGAAAGCACATTCTTTTTTGTAACAAGACTTCAAGTGTACTAAGTGTATTCCAAGAAGAGGAGTCTGCTCTCTATAAAGACCATCCATCAGTTTCAGCAAGCATGTTGAAGCAAAAAGAGTAAGACTGGCATTATGAAAGGTAGGCAAATAGGTTACGAGGCACCACAAGCGTGTCCAAGAGCTAGCAGGGGACTATGAAAAGAGGCCTGATTACAGATTGCGTTTTGCAAAGCTTTCAAGATGATTTTGGAAGCCTGAACTTGATGCATGCATGGGGGGAGGCAGAGGGAGACTCGAAGACAGATGAAACGTAACTAAGCAACTACAGGGAAGCATACAAAGAAATGCACTATTTACAGAGGTCGGATTTTTAAAAGGCTTCTTAAACTGCTGTGCAAAAGGGACACGTAGCAGTCAGGTGACAGAGGCAATAGCCCCATTTCTCAGAGCACAGTGGTGAACCATGAGCTGAAGCAGAATCCAACACCTGCCCATAAATCAGCCCCTGGGAGGAGCCGCGCGTCTGAGCAGGAGCAGCACTTTTGCCTCCAGCGTGCTGGCTTCTCCCAAGCTCTGAGCACAGCACCCAGAGGCTCTCACCTACACACCGCGGCAAGTCACACTCACATCTTTACTGCTGCTCCACTTATACAGCGTACAATTCAAGGAAGATACAGCAATCCTCCCTTGTGAAATCATCGACCAATGCGTGCTCCTTGTTCCATTAGCTCGCAGAAGGAGATAGAGGTGCAGTGTGGGAAGACTAGTTTCGTGCTTCATTTAGCACAAGAGACAGAGGGACCTCCATTAGATCTCTCTGCAATGTATCTCCTTTCTGACTATACATTAGGGCTCTCAGCCTGAAATCTCCAGCGGTAACATATGCCTCCACAGTAGAGCACGTCTTCTCAACACTGATACTACAGCTGAGGGAGTACCAATCTATATCGATGACTGCAAATAAAAGACCCTAATAAATTTGCTGGCTTAAGTCTTCCAGACTCAGTAAGTTTTTGCTAATCTGCTAAGGTCTGAGCCAAACTATTTAACAACATTTCTTAGTTTGAGAGAAGATATCGATGATGTTCTGACTGCTGGTAGCCACTACATCCTCTAGAATCCAAAACCAGGAGGAGGCAAGAAAAAATATATGAAAGAAAAATACCTGAGTGTCTCTCTTACTGAATCTCACTTGACAGGGATCAAAGGATTTCTTAATAATTGCATAGATTTATTTTACATTAAAATAATTGGACCTGTTAAATGCCCTTGAAAGTGCCAGATTTGCAGCTCTAGAGATGCAAGCCCTATGCATATAAACAAATTAGGGATAGCATGGCAGCCAGGCAAGCTACGCTGCTTTGACAGCCTGTGAGAGTCTGACTGCTGGGCCAAAGGGAGAGTTTAAGTGGATGGTAATTCTGTTTCCAAGCCCTTGATGACAGTAATTCAGTCACCAAAGTATATCCATGACCTTCAGGTGAAGGACCCTTATGCTCCTGTATCTCAAACACTGGCCGGGTGGATGGGATGACAAGCCTTTACAAGAGGAAGCATCTGCAGAAGTAAAGGCAAGTTCATTTCCAAGTTTCCAGTGAGCTCATTAACTAAGACAGTCAAATAACATTACTTAGCCAGTCTGCTCTGCCCAGCAGCAGGAACTTCTCCACTTGCTCATACTAATAATGACAAAAAGCATAGGGCTTGGATTAAATGCACAAAAACATACACCAAAACTACTTTTTTAGTCTGGAATGAAGTCAAGAAGTTTCGGATTTATGCCCTTAGAAAAGAGCAATGCCATGACTCAAATAGAACTAAAGACAAACTCCAACATACTTCTTTCGCTGCTCAGCCAAGGAACTGCCTCTTGTCTGTGCAAACATGTCGAAGTCATCACGAGGATTACAGTGTTGTAGGGAGCTGAGTGTGCCACTGACACTGTTTGTACCCAAGTCTGCAACCAGAGGCAAAAAAAGCAAACTGATGAAGCAGCAAACCATATGCAAGTACCACTGCCATGACTGCGTAGGTCACAGAGGAAGTCATTAACACAGGACAGCTACAGATATCATCTAGTTAACGGTTGTAGCACTGAGCACCATTCTGTCCACGCGAGGCTGGAGGCTGCTAATCACACATTTCTTAAAGGATAAGTGTAGAGATTGTTTTATTCTTCCTGGAAGCACCACACTGTAAGTATTCCTCATTGAGAAGCCAGCATTTGGGAATTGGTGTGCACCTGCTGCCCATCTCATCCTGAGATATTTACTATTCACTAACATGGTCCAAAATCTGGGGCACGGATACTCATTTTCTCCACAAGGTTGTCTTTCAGCTATTGACTGTGAAATCAGTAGTTTCAGATCAAGTGATATGATATTGGTGCAGTGCTGAAAGAGGTGGAGAACCTTCAGTCAAATCAAGTGATCATATCAAGTGATCTTTGGTTTGATTTAATTTAGAACATCTAACAGTTTCATAAAACCTTCCATCCAAAGATTTCAAATAACATTTGCAGAAAGGGAATCAAGAACATTCACCAGACTGATGTCATGGAGAGCTATACCTATGCAGAAATAAAAGCAGTAGCACAAGTTTTACCACAAACGAGAACCCGCATCCTTTCCTTTACTCTCCCCTTTGGTTAACAAATCCCTCCCTTTCTGCCAGGCTGGTTCCCAATTACAGATCGCTACAGTGCAGGGGAGTGGGAGAGCCTTTCTAATCCTGTAAGCCACATACCCAAACCTTCTGAAGGCTACATGGCAACATTGATCAGGTAGTGGAGAGCCAAAGAGAGCAGAAACTCCCTGACCCACAAGCAAAAGAGGAAAATGGTTCCTCGTAAATCCCAACAGTCTACGGCAATAAGAGCTTGTACTAGGTGTTCAGGTCAGTCACACGGACCTCAGCAACTGCTCAGACTTGCTCCCACACTCACACACCTGGATTGCCTAGCAGCCCCCACGTGCTGTTCAAGACTCACAGACTGGTCAGGCTTGAAAAGGCCCATGCGTTGCAGCCTCATGTTCATCAGCACTATTTAGATAAGGTACTCACCGAGCCCTGCAAGCTGTGAAGAAAGTGAAGACGGGGGTGCTGAGTTTCCAACCATTGGGCTCACCACAGCTGGAGAGCCAGGACCCAAGTCTATTAAGTTATCTTCTGTCACCTCATTCAGTACCTGTTGGGATACAAAAAACACAACAAGTTACACATGCCAGAGATTTCTTCTTGCAGTGCAACATTAAAAACCAAAAAATAATGGGTGCCTCCTAAAAAGATCTCTCTTGCACACTGCCAAATGGACCAGTGTCTTGGATACTACGGTGATGAGTGCAGAATAAAAAGGGTCAGCCACCAAAAAAGCCGCAAGTTTGACTGCTCAGCACAGCTCGGAACTCTCCTGGAGGTCATCTGCATCTCTTCAGATTCAGCTGATGTGTCTGTGTTCTCTACCTCTTTTAGTACTGGACCAACATCAGATCTAAGTCAAACTGAACGTGCTAACATCTTCCATATTAGGTATAAACTGTTTTCAGAAACGAAACGTATTTGTTGTGACTAAAGTTACAATGCAGAGCCTGTGCTGAAGTTTGCATCACACTGCAGTAGAAGTGGCACTCAAAGAGGCAAAGTAAATAGTAGAAATTGATAGAAGAAAGCAAAATAGAAAGTGTAATAGTGCCACATATGAATTCATCATGAACTTGGATCTTGAACACTATAAACCAACTATAAAGTAATTTTCATTGAAAGAATAATCAGAACTGTAACTCTTCAGCTTGGAAAAGAGCTGCTGAAAAAGGAGATGAGAAAGGTTCCTAAAATTATGAGTGGCATGAAGAAAATGAATCTGAACAGTGCTATTGTAAGACACAGTGAAGAAGAATTAGGTGGATCAAATAAAAATCATTGAAATGTAAACAAAGTATTTATTATGTACACATACCCACATAAATATGTAAAAAAGTGTAGTGAAACTGTGGAACTCACCGCTTAAGGACATTGTGAATGCCTAAAGTCTGCATGGACTCAAAAGCAATCAAAAAATTTTGATTAGGAAAAATTTCTTCATGGAAAGGGTAGTCAAGCATTGCAACAGGCTGCCCAGAGAGGTGGGGGAGTCCCCATCCCTGGAAGTCTTCAAAAAACGGGCAGCCGTGGCACTTTGGGACATGGTTTAGTGGGCATGGTGGGGTTGGGTTGATGGTTGGAGTGATGATCTTAGAGACCCTTTCCAACCTTAATGATTCCTAGCTTTTACTTTCATTAAAAAATAATCCAGCCACCAAGGCAGGAAACATGAAATTATGACTCTCCCCTTAATTGGTTTAGTGTTGGACTTGGCAGTGTTAGGTTAATCGTTGGCCTGGATGATCTTAAAGGGCTTTTCCAACCTAAACGATTCTATCATTCTATGATAAAAAAGTTAACAGAGGAAAGAAAATCCATTAAGGATTGTAAACACAGAGATGTTTTAGTGTAGTGCCTTCCTGAGCTAAAAGTTGTCACTTGAGCTTTGCCACATTCTTACGCTCTTTTCGCGGTATCCACTATTAGCCACTACAGGCAGGACACAAGGGCTTGGACAGATAAAAAGTCTGAGACTAGTGACATCAGTAAAGCTAGTATGATGTAGCTGCTGAGATAAGAAATGGAGTTCAGTACTTACTCCATTGCTGGCATTTTGTGTTGAACGTCCTGATCTGTATCGTTCAAATCTGTTTAGAAAAAAACCAAAAAACCAACATGGACTATCAAAGCCACCAATAAACAATGAAAAACACAAATTTATAACAAAGCCATGACACACTTGCCACTGAAGTTAGTTTTCGTTGGTTCAAGAGGGAACCCTGAAAGCTTTAACTGCAAGCTAGGACAAAGGGAAGATAGTTACCAAAGTTGCATTCTTGGCAAATGTGGATATTAAGTTGACTAATCTGATCTTGCAGCACACACATGCCTGAAAAATCACTGTAGGATTTGTCTTTGGTTTTTTTCATTAAGTGTTTCATGACAGACTATTCTGTTAGCCAAGGGACAGCAGTGAGATTGATGCTCCCAGCTAAATAAGCTGAGCACCGCAGCAAGTCTTACTCCCACTTAACAGCTCCCTCTTGCTGCAATACATGTAAATTAGAAGCCATATGCATGCTAGCACAGCCCTACCCAGGCACCACATGGCAAGAGAAACAATGCTTAGCAAATTTGTTTTTTAAAACATTCTGGGTCAGCTCAAGGATTGTCAGAGCCTATGTTCAACTAGATTGGTACTTTCCAAGAATGGAATGTAATGATGTTGGATAAAAATCCGTATACTTCTTAGGGGAAGAAGACTACCTAGTCAAGATCTGGTCTTGTCACTACCCCTTCCCCAACCACCTGTGCATCTGGGGCTGCAAACCTAAATCCAGCCTTCATGAACTCAGAAAAAGCAGGGGGAACTAGGCCAGCCTGGGGCCAGTCCGATCTCCTTCCTTACCAGGAAAAGCATCATGATTTCTCTGAAGTTGGAGTTTTTCCTCATTTGAAAGTAGTTTCACATGTAATCTCTCTAGTAAAAAAACCCGTAATATTCATATAGTCCTGTGGGTTTTCTCCCAGATGGACAAAATACAACAGGGAATCTCAAGGAAACAAAAATGTTTTCTTAATGTAACAGAGGAAAATGCAGACTTAAAAGGCAGCAAAACCAAATTCAGGCCCAAATGTCAATTTTAGGGAACTGTGGGTGTCTACTATTACTGGAAATCCAGCTCCCTTAGCTAGAAACCTAAGACACCTCCCACCTCGTATTTCTCACCCAAAAGCCTTATGAACCACACGTTCGTTTACATCCAAAGCTTCACAGCAAAGGCCAGAGCTCCTGCTTGAGTCACTGACAAAGCCTGGTACCCATACTAGAAATCAATGCGATGAAGGCAGAGCTTTTGGAATAGCAGAGGAGGAACTGGAATTTATTGAAACGCTCAGACCCGTGCAGCTATTCTACCACAAATAGCTTGCTAACATCATTCAGCTCACCATTCAGTGTATAATGACTACAAATACATTAGCCCCAGCCAGCAAAGTCGCAGGTGGAGGAAAATAGAAAAAATATTAAGGGTGACCAGACTAAGCCTTAGTGACAGTTACGCTCTGCCACTTGTGGAATCATGCTCGTGCATGAAACATTCCATTTCACATAAAAAGCCAGCATTTGTTTCAAAGTTTGCCCCAATCTCCTCTGAACGACTAAATCAAAGACAAAATCGAGGCCACCGAGTCTTCTTTCCAGCCTTTGCCGTGACAGCACAGATTCACAGATCCAGAGTCTAATATATTTTTAAAGGCTTGAGAAACAAAGCCCTGTGCTAAGAGCAAGGAACAAAGGGTACTCTTTAGTGCCTCACTCCCCGGGCCTGTCATTAAGGGGAAGATTAAACTTTCCCAAGACTGCTGTATCACATGTCACCTAATGCAGCAGATGTGGCTGACAGCGCCTTTGTCTAACATGTCGAAAGTCCTACGACCCAAGTCCCGCCCCTGGGGATGATTCCCACAGAGCAACTCTGCAAAACCTCAGCTCTGCGCAGGACAGGATTTTTTCAAGATTTTAAGTGTTACTTAAAAACAAAACCCTTACATGCATGAAGTCACACCCACCTCAGGCAGCTCCCCTTGCACCAGTACTGGAACTAGAAAGCCCAGAGATCAGAAGACACAAAGAGCTCACGGGAGCCTCCCTAAGCCAGGAAGCAGCACAAGCATTTGTGCAGAGCCCAGGCTAGCAAGTGGAACTAGTGACTGTGGCTGTGCTATTTTCGGTCCCAAGTCCCTACATTTGTAGAGCACTGCACAACAGGGACTTGCAGACTCAAGTCTCTGCTAGCTGAGAGAGTTTTGCACAAAGCTGCCCTGCGTTTTACAGATATGCCCCACAAAAATTCAATGGCTAGGACCAAAAAAAAAACCAAACCCAAAAAACCATAGCATTAAAGGAAACAACTGAAACAGGAATGTTACCACAGAAGACCACAAAAAGACTTTTTCAATGCTTTCAGTGGCTTAGTTCTCTGCGTTTTGTTATGTTGGACCATTGGCTCAGAAGGCCAACTCTTGTCAACTGACCTATTTTACACTTAAGTGAAAACCCAGAACGAATGCAAACAGTTAATGGAAAAGGTGCCCCACCTTTCGTATCTGAGGAAGACGTTATTTAAATCATCATTCACATGCAGCAGTTCCTCTGTGACTTCTTCATTGGACACTCGTGAGATAAGCTCCACAATTCTCTGCTGCATAGCTCTACAGGTTCGGTTCAGTTCCTAGGAGGAATGCGTTGTGCACACACATTCTGATAAGCAGCTAGCAATAAGCAGATTTAGTTGAGCTCTGTTCACAGCCAAACGTATCCCCCAGCTGAGAAACACTAAGACAAGTCTATCTTTGCATGATTAAATGTCACCCAAAAGCACATCTAATCAAACATGCCCTTCAAGAGACGATGGCATAAAACCTTGAGAGCCTATTTACAATTCAACATCCTGATTCTTCTTTAACTCTGAGCACTTCAGAAAATAAATATCTGTATTTTAGTGATCTGTTTTAAGAATAAAACATGTTAATACAACAGCTTTTCCAGAAGAGAGCTTTCAAGGAAAATTCAATCTGCTCTTTTTGGCACTATCATCCTTAAAAACTAAAAGATGCACTTGGTGGAACAAGTGGGGAAGAAAGTTCATCATGGATACCACAAGTAGCTAAGTGTGTGTGACACAGCAGGAAGAGAAGGGTTGGGGACACAGAATTTACCAACTACTGAGAACATGAGTGTGAACACAAAACAAGGAGCAGGAGTATGAAAAGATGAGCACTCCACACACATTTCAGTATTGAACTATACACAGAAACACTCCCTTCAACTGAACACATCCACAGACAAGAGACTGCAAAAAGGCACCGGAGAGCTTCAGAAGAAAATTTTAAAGCGTGTAGAGTAAGGGCATTTATTTTAGAAGTCTCTCATGCCAAGAAATCTAGGTTTGAGTTTGCTTAAACTGGGAGTTCTCATGCTTCCAGGACATCTCTTCCATCACCAATTACTTAGCAGAATTCTTTACTCCTGAAAGGACTCAAGACCAAAGGTCAAAAATGGTATGTTGAGGAGGAACTACAAGAAGAAACGTGACATATGGCATGGCGCCACTGATTAGGCCCTCGGTTTTACTTCAATCAGCACTGACATTTCAACTAAATCATGTCCCTCTGTCATCTTCCACCCGCCCCCCAGCTCCACTTCACAGCAAAAATTCAGCACTAAACAAGGATGACTTGTTGGTACACAACCTTCGGGATGAAAGCAAAAATGTGTTTGTTTTCCTTGCTTGGTCTGACATCCTAAGCTCTGGATAAATTTCACCTAGTGCAATCCAGCTGCCTTAACAGCTTGAGGAATGTGTTCTCCAATGTCAGTTTTGATCCCATCACTTTAGAAGCAGATTGTGACATTTCAGAGGTTTGTTTGCTGCCTTTCCAAGAGGGCTGACAGTACCTATCTATTCTGCTCAGAGCTGGCTCTCTAACAAGCTGTTTACATTTGATTGTTGGAGAAAATGTCAGGAATTATTTAAGGAGGAGGGCTATATAAACCTCAAAGCAAGGAGTCCTTGCATGCAGCACCCGGCTCACAGCTTTCAAAAGACTAACCATTCTTTGTGATCAAAACCAGGTTCTCCCCAGCTCTGTGATTCAGATTTAGGATGCATCAGTCAAAGAAGGGAACCAGTTGGAATAAAGAATCGCTGCTGTCACGCCACATTACGATCAAGTTCTTTCACCTTAAAGCTATGCTGTAAGGTTACGAAGTCAAGATGTTAGTAGTTGTTTCTGAACGTAAGCAAACTGTTCTGCGCTGGTTTGGTCTGTCGTGGTTTCCTGGAAGCTTCTTTTGTTTTGAGCAGTCCAACCCAAATGGGCAGTAACTGAAAGGCTCTTTATTGCAAAGCCTCTCATCAGCTGCCATGATGGCTCTGAGACAAACACACAATACCGCTGCATGGGAGAGACCAGTTTTTGGATGGATTTCAAACTCTGATGTATCACAGAGAGCAATTCCCTGCCTTCCTCCAAATGTAGTGCTGTGGGAGCCCATCCTCCCTGCTGGAAGATCAAAACAGAAGCCTATTTCTGAAGCTATGGAAAGGCAAATACCATGTTAAGGGCAGCAGCTGGAATGCTAGATCACAGTATTCCTCACGCTGTTGCATGTGGTACTGTATTACTTTCCTCAGGCAAAAGGACACCCCACTACCACCGGCCTGAGGAAATAGGTCTGAAGCCCAAGACATGAGTTCAACTAAAATTGTTTTCCCTTTTGAGATAATAAATGCTGCACTGGATTGAGACTTTCCAGCAAAGAAACGCCTTCTGATTACCCAGTCTGACCCTCTGGACAGCATGAAACTTTGCCTGAGCGCCTGCCTTAAGCCACTACCTTCAGGAGAAGCTATAGCACATCTTCTGGAAAAACAGTTCATATATAAGATTTTTGAGTGGCAGAGAACCCACAGATCCTTGGCAATATTTAGCCCAGCTGAAAACATGGAGTGTTTTTTTCTTGCATAGTGACCAGGAGTGTTTTGCCACTGTACGAGTGATAATGGAGGATGTAAAAGAAGCAGAAATGCTCGGGGCTTACAGAGCCTATCACAATTTTAAGTTGCTTTGTGGTAAAGGAGACCTTATATTCAACATTGGGAAAAGCTTCTAGCTACACAGAGAAGAAAGCACTGGAACAAGTTTCAAGGGAAATTAGGAAATCCTTGTCACTGGAAGCTTTGACAAATGAAGAACATCAAGTGATGAGACCAACCACGGTCAAGCGCAGTCCACACTAATTTTGTAAAACAAACAAGCCAAGGCAGTGAACTACAACAAAAACCACCCCCACAGAAAAACTCAAGCACAGAAAGGATCAGAATCTTATTTGCTAGGAAACTGTTACCTGGAGTAACTCAAGGTCTGAGGAATCCTCTTGTCCAGGTACCATTTCTGTCAGCATTTCAGACATCACTTTTGTATTCCCACGAACAATATCCAGTTCACTGCGCAGCCGGGCAATCTAAATTGTGGTAAAAAGACAGCAAAATAACTGCATAATCTTCTGGTTTAAGCAGATCATTTCCAAGAACTGAGTTTGTGATACCTCTGGTTCTGTCTGACTTGATATCTGAGGCTCCAGACATTCTAACAGGGGGGAAAAAAAAAAAAAAGTAAAGAGAAAAAGTTTACCCAGGAGAGAATTTTAGAAAAGCAACAGAAAAAGGAAAGAACTTTGTAGAACCACTTACTATCATCACAAACCCAGATGTGCTATGCTTGTATGGAAGGAAAGCAATTGAAAACAGCAGCGAAAAACAGACCTCAGCTGCAGTACACCTTGGGTGCCTCACTCAGATGTGGGGAAAGATGTACAACTTCTGAGCAGGATCTTTGGCTCTGAAGTTACTCTTTTTGCAGAGAGAAACAAGATCCTATATTAGGGTATTTGCAAGATGCAAATGCAAACTTACAGATGCAGACTTAACTCCCTGTTAGAGACTTCCTCATCTGCAAGATATTCTGCGCCTTTAAAGGAGGGGGGCTAATGAGAATAACTGCTAACCTACTGCACAACCGCTGAGTGGACTGGTATATCAGACTCTTGAGTTTTCCTAACTGCTGCCATTAGGAGGCCATACATACAAATGTAAAGCCTAGATTTTACAGTATAATAGGAGGAAAGATTACTAAGTAGAACCAGACCTAGGACACAAAGTCAAAAGAGTCAAAATGAAACTTCCTCTGCAAATTGGTTTCTAATTTGACCTGCTGAAAGAGACTCACTCAAAAGAATCATCATAGAATCATAGAATCATTTAGGTTGGAAAAGACCTTTAAGGTCATCCAGTCCAACCATTAACCTAACACTACCAAGTCCACCACTAAACCAATTAAGGGTAGAATAGCCATTTCATCATCCCAATACCTGTTCAGAATTAGCAGTGATGGGACCAGTCACATTCAGAGCTGGGGCCTGAGGAGCAGGATACGCCGTTGGAGAAGATGAAGAATAAGAACTGGTGCTCATCCTTTGCTGAGACTGTGAATTGTGCATATTTGCTGCAGGATCAACTTCAGGAACACTCTGCCACATCAGAAAGACAGGAGTTCAAAAGCTGAATTGTGACGGCACTTGCTTTGTCAGCAACCTCAGGCCAAATACATTCAAATATAGAACATAATTGCACCTTGTGGAAAAGGTCAGTGTGGTTACGAGAACAGACCAGCAGGCCAGCCCATAAACAGACAGCTACAACAAAAATGCATGCCCATATCTTTTGACCCAACACACATGCATTTAAGACAATTTACCTTTACAAGAAAAGTGAGAAGCAAAATAAAAACAAGAGCCAAAGATAAATAATTATAAACAAGGAATTATGTTGCAGGCTTACAAAAAACAATGTGATACATCGATACTGGATTTAATTAATCTTGGCACACAAACTGTAATCTTTCAGTCCTTGATCACTTGCATTTACCACTTCAAAGATTCATTAACTTCAGTTTTCAGAGTGAATAACCAGAACGCCTGTGATCATTAAGTTACTTCCTAGCAGCAGTTCTGTCAACTTTACAGACCTAACTTTTCACAAGGTGTAAAGATCTCGCGTTACCATGGGATCAGTGACAGATTCAGACTCTGTACACCTTTGAAAGACAGGCAGGCCTTGGTTTGGGGTTATCACCAACAGAAACAACCATACTTTTAAGAAAAAAAAGTAAATCTTAATCATATATCCTGCTGGACTCTCTCTGAGCAAGTTGCATTTGTCTGGTGGCTTTGTGGTACAAGACAAGTGTACAAACCTCCTCCAAACTCTTTTCTCTTCTCAGATTGATGTTTGACTCAAGGGAAGAGATTCCATTAGCTTATCAGCCTGTCAAATGCAGCTGCATTATGCTTCTACTACATGCCCTTTCACTATTAAAAAAAGTCCATCCAGGAGTGAGAAAATGAGCCAAATTCAGAGAAACAGGAGGGGAAAGGAGAGTAGTTACCCAACTATTCAGATGTCTTGGGAAAATACCCCTGCAATTGCAACGCTGCAGCTTACCCTCTGTGGTGTGTGTATAGGAGACAGAGCATCAAGATCTGCCATGGGAAACTCTATGCCTTTCCTCTTGAGTTCTTCATATATGTGCACTACTCCAGTTAAATCAGGGCTACTTCGAAAGGCATCAGCCCAAGCCTGGAAAACATGAGGGATTATCCATAAAGCTTCCAAATGAAGTTCCAGCTCCACCCTGACCTCAGATACTGACTACAAAAGCTTTCACATATTTCAGCTTCAAAGGGAAGCTGTAATCATTAGACCTGGTCTAAAAGATCCTGCAAATATTATTAAGACAGTCACGTACATACTTTATTCAAATATAAAATAGACAGGAACCAAGCGCACAATAGCTATGTCTAGACCCTGACATCATCAAAATCTGTAAATGCAAACGCAAACCTCTTCCAATCTCCCCTACTTAGCAGTGATTGCATGCTGATCTTTTCTTGCATATTCTATGGCCAGTGACCCACCAGAAAGTCTGTGTGAAAGATTAAATTGATCTAAGCAAAATTCATAAAGTCATACAATAACCTTAGGTAACCTCAATTTACTTCGTGAAACACCCTCATTTGTTGCCAAAGAAAAAACCACAGCTGTCACATCTTCTTCAGTATTTTATTTGGACCAAACTTAAATAAAAAAGGTGGTTTCTGAGGTTCTTATTTTGTGAAACATGCATGTCCCATGAACAGCAGAACTAATGAAGCCTGGGTTCTTACAGAGCATATCCAACACTTTAGACACCCCGGTGTGCCAGAAAGAACAAGTTTAAAGGGAGAATTTCCCACAGGCAGAACACTTGTAATATCTCTCCCGCATGAATTCTCCCGTGTCTAAAAAGACTTAGTTCACATTTGAGCTTTTCCTTCAGTGGGAGTGCTAAGTGTTTCTCTTCGCTAGCCTGCCTCCTGTACTCATGAAGCTGCTGGGAGCGTAATATCTAGAAAGCCTCTACCCCTTTCACTTTTGCTGGAAATTAGCCAAGTATTAAAAATTTAGGGGAAGGAAAAATTGAAATATTATGACTCAGTCAGAAATTAAGCATTCCCCAAGCCCCTACATATGTGAGGCAAAGTACCAGTGCGCTGGATCCAGAAATACTGCGAGACATGTGTGTGGGCTCTGAACTTAATTCATTTAGTCATCACTTTTACACTAGTTCTTTGACTATTTTTATTTTAAAAGCTGTTTTTAACCACTTTTTCTATTTGAGAGGAGAGAAATCAGAGATAGCAAAACAAGATAAGAAATAATATCAATATTTAACTTGCATTCCTATTCTGTTCAATTCTAAGAAAGAGCATTTCCTACCCTATGTGCCCAGGAGACAATCCGTTATCAGTTCAAGCCAACAATTCTGGGTTTGCTTCTCAGCTTTGTTAAGAGTAAATTAACTGCATCAACTGTTCCAATGCAGTGCAAGTCCAAACAGCCCTATCTGAGCCAGAAAAAACAGCTCCAACTGCAAAGAGCCATTCTGTTTCCTTGGAACTGACCTTCCGAAACCATTCCTAATTCTGATGGAGATATTGACTGTACAAGTAACTCTACCCTTGCACTTTCTCTGCATTTTCAATTTACATAAGAAGTCATCTGAATGATGCTTCTACATAGTGGTGCTCCCCACTTCAACTCTATCTGCAAGTAAGAATGAAAAATGTTAGGCAAGGGATGCTGCATTTAATAATCACGCAAAAGAATTAAAGGCAGAAGTCCGCTGCGCTGCTGCCCCCAACTTTTAATGAGGCTTGTTTGCCCAGAAGGATGTACTAATGCATCCTCCAGGACAAGGAGTAATGGTTTTAAACTAAAGAATAGATTTAGACTAGACATAAGGAAGAAGTTTTTACAATGAGGGTGGTGAAGCACTGGCACAGGTTGCCCAGAGAGGTAGTGGAAGCCCCATCCCCAGAAACGTTCCAGGTCAGGTTGGACGGGGCTGTGAGCACCCTGATCTGGTTAAAGCTGTCCCTGTCACTGCAGGGGGTTGGGCTGGATGGCCTCTAAAGGTCCCTTCCAACCCAAAGCATTCCATGATTCTATGATCCTCTCTTTCATGGGCTTCCTACAGATTTTGTTGTAGTGAACCCACTTCATTTGCACTCTACCTTTTTAATATATTCTCTCTTCTGCAACTCTCCTCCCTGAAGAAAGGAGACACTTTAATTTGTATTCTTCTTCACCTGAGCTGGGAGCATTATCTACATTAGTGTGTCTCTCCGAGGTCACAACCAGGACTGGGTGCTATTGCCCTAAGTGCTGCCTACGCACACTGTAAGACAATCCCTGTCCTAGACAACTTACAATTCAACTAGGCAACAGTAATAGTAGCTCTACCTTATGGATAAGGAGCTACACACAGAGCTTAGGAGACTTGCCCATTGTCCAAACAAGTGCATGACAGAGGTGAGAGAGAATTCAGGTCTTCTAAGGCTTTGGTCAAGATTATCAAAGGTTATTAAGGATGCTGCTGTATAAATCCCACTTGGCGCCTCAGTGTGCCCAAACAGGTTAATTAAATACCGTTGCAAATCTGGCCCCTAAATCAGTGACCATCACAAGACAATTTTTCCAGTGTCGGACACTTTTTAACACATGTAGCTTCAAAAGAATTTGCTGTGCCACTAAAAGTCTCCTCGTGATTCATCTTTGATGACAGTGCTCAGCTACTGGGCAGCAAGGTGATATGAACTCTGAGGCGATATGCAAGCTCTTACCAGAGGCACAGCAATAAGGAATATTTCCAAGGCCTTTTAGCAAGAAGGAAGGATGAGCAAGATGTAATACATGCTAATTCATGTACACTGGGAAATAGGTTAAGAAAGTGAGACGCAAGATGCCCAATATCTCAAAACAGTCAAGTCTCTAGATAAGAAATTGGATGGCAGCTTTATCTACCCTTGCTACAGAAAGGCCCAGGAGTCCAAGAGCTGTATGGTTGAAGACATGTGCTGTTTGTACAGCTTTTTTCCATGCTTCCAGTTGCTATTAATCCTCTCATTTCTGTTCTTATTAATTCCCCGATATAAAATTGTAAAAAGCCTACAGAAGGGGATAAATGTAATGTTAGTGGAGCAGAGCTGAGAAGAGATCAGCCCCCTGGAACGGAGTTGTTAACTCCAACTGCAGGGAGCTCTAAAGAGCAAAGTCGAAGCTGAGCAAAGTGGCCATGAAGGACGGGATATTTTGGGTGTGCGTGTCAATAAGGCAGCTGAAATGAGTGACTGCAATCACTTTTCCAAACTCGTCAGGCAATCTGGAAAACGAAGTCCCCTACCACCTCCAGCTAAAGAGACACTAACAGAACCCACCCACAGGCAACTTTCATAATTCTCAGGCTTTTTATACCAAAAGGCATTTAGTACCCAGAGTGAGGCTTTTAGCTCTACTGCACTAAGTCTACTCAGATACAGCTCCATTTAATACACTGAGGCGATGACAGCGGCTTTTTGGTTATGTTACAAACACTTGATCTTAGTTGCATTGATGACTGGGAATCCACGTAAATCCAGGACCCAGCATAACCAACATCCTCTAAAACACTGTAGGAGCACAGCAAACAGTATGGAAACATGCACAGTTTCTCTTTATGGGACAGTATTTAACCTCATCTCCTGGTCACCACATGCATCAGCTCTCCCACCAAAGCAGGCAGACACCCAAGGGCTCAGTCAGACGTGCAAGAATTGCTTTTAATAATTTAATTAATTTTGTGCAATTTTTTTAAAAAGCCTTGAGATCGCAGACCAGAAATAAAGGGACCCCACAGACCCCAATGCAATGCCCACCTAATTTCCCCACCCAGCCTACTTCCTCTTCGGAAATCACTTATTTACATTGTCATGTTCTAACGATGTCCTATCTGTGTACCCAAATAATAAATAAACCAAACAGCATGCTTTGCCACAAAAATCAGAAGTATATCTGGAAAACTATGCTGTGCATTTGTAAATACCTTCCCACAAGAAACACTGCAGCAGGTTTATATCATTTTAAATACGCAGTGTCTTTTAGTCTCTGGTGTATGCAATAGCCTGTAGGAGCGTAGTGATAAAGCTTCCTATAATTGTCAGATTTCCTCCAGGCAGGCACCAGCGTTTCCTCATGTGTTGCTAATGGTTTGTGGAATTAACATGGCTGTTTATTGTTATGCTGCACAGAAGGAGAAGTGGCAGACAGGCCTACGTCGGAGCTTCCCCACTGCAGGCAGGGATCTGACAGCGCACTTACTGCACAACAGAAAAGACACCAAAACCATTTTAACTCCTATATGGTCATTTACCTTTTCTATAACCACCTTTAAAAGGAATTCAGAATGCTTTCTAATGGAGGGAAACAGCTCCATTTTACGGTCAGGGAAACAGACACAGAAAGGTAAGTGTTCTGCAACTGACAGCAAAAGTGCGATCCTCTAAAATTTCCTGGCCTCAGATGACAAGCCCATCACAGAAGCAGGTCTCCAGCTTCTAGATTTGACTGTTAAATTGCAAAGCCATCCATTTATCTTTTATTAAGTCCTCTTGCTTTAGAGTGGTACCTCTCTAACTAGAATCCAGACACTTCTCCCCAGATGAAATATCTATGCATGTGTGTGTCTGCTCTTCCCTGCCAATCTGGATATATTGTTTGTTTTTACATATAAAAAACTCGCCACATTTTTAATGATGACAGCATGTTTAGCGATGCGTAGCACCGAAGCAGACAGTCCTTATTTCAGGCAGCAACATATGGAAGCAGAGACAAGCTGTGTACCTGAATTAGCGCTAGTACTTTATCCTGTACAATAGTGGGGGGATTATTCTTGGGCGAGATGATTTTCACCAGAACACCATCTATGAAGTCACGGTTTGCCACTAAGACATGAAAGCGATGGCCACAGTTCTTCACACAGGTCTCCAACACCTACACACACAAAAAAACATTCATTGTTGGGGCAAAGCTTGATCACACACGCAGCACCTATGTGGTTGGTTTCTGATTTTGCTTTTTTTTTTAATTTTAAAACTTTTGATGGGAGTGAGAGAAGGCAGAGGAGAAATCACACTTGTACTCTTCATTCTTCTTTTCTTCCCCAATTTCACCAAAAAGCTTCCTTCTCTACGCACACATCTAGATGTACCTCACCCACCATTAACATATTGGGCACTTTTGTGATCTACCCTTTGCCTGTTTTCAAGGTAAAAAAATATAAAGTTTCTTCCTCTTCAAAGCAGAGCTTTCCAACCTGCACAGCTGAACAGCTAAGTGCACAGCATCATATCAAGAGCAGGTAAGACAGAGGACATCCTGTCACAGTGAGATATTATCATGCTGTGGCACTCCACCATTTCCTATGTACCCGGAACACAGCTGGACCCGCTTGCTCTGAGCTATAAGCCATGTTTTAGAGTTGGGAATTCAGGTGAATGATCTTCACTCATTCAAAACACTCCCTTGTGAATGCTCTGACAGGTTATACTTTGACACATTTTCCCCCTGCAACCTAGCTAGAGGCACCCTCTACTTGCCATTCAACTGCCATGGAAGAACAGCTGTTGATTTTTCTCTGAAGAACATGATTAGCATGGAGATAAATCCAATGCGTCACTTCTCCTTACAGCCATGCCTAATAACTGCTGTGACTCTGTATCTGAGGAGTCTGTAATTACTCTCCTACTTCAGCTACTTTCATCAGCCCTGATGACATGGACTCATTCCTGATGAATTTCACTCTTTC